TCAGAGTTCAGATCATCATAGTCAAATTGAAGAGGTAGCTTTTCAAGTATTTGGGGCAGAAAAACACACAGTCACCTCAGATATTTGGATAATTGGGTATGCTTTCCACTTGCTTTGGCCAAGGAAATCTTGCCACAGCAAAAACTAAAGATTCTGTCTCAGTCAGCTTTGGAGGATGGAGACAGCAAAATGGTCCTTCCTGCCCACATTGGCTGGGCCCATGACGGACTGGGCGCCATTCAGAGGCATTCTGACTGTACTCTGCACAAACCGCAGTAATACAGCTATTAATAGCAAAGCCTGCCCAGAAATTAAGCATGCCTCTTCCCTCTGAGAATCAAATTCAGGTCAAAGAAAAGCTATTAGGGACCATTTCTCCATAATTATTATATATTAAAGTTGAAATATTGAGCTGAATTGCATATCTGGTTATAATAAACAATTTGGAAAATGGTACATTGCTTCAAAGTTAGAGTTTAATAGTTCTGTTTTTTTTTTTAAATAAATGAAACGTAAAAATAGCCGCTTTTTCAGTTGCTACTGGAGTTTTAAAGAATATCAGTGATTTGAATTTGTGTTTCTCAATGTGCAATGAATGTAAATTGATTACTTCTGGCTCTCTGTCTTATAATCAAGCGGGTTAGTTTTTGGCCAACTGGAATTTCTTCTTTTGCACAGTTGACCTGTATCCATGGTGTCCTTAAATAATAATCAACAACTTCTTTATTTCTTTTCATGAGAAGGGAGGAAAAGTATTATAGGACTTAGGCGCTGTGAGCTGTTAGAGTCTCCACTGCAGTGCTGCATGTAGATTTATACATCTGTTTGCATTTCCTAGATAATTATGCCAGATAAGCCGAAAATTATGCCAAGTCAGTGTTTGAGAGCATGTACAAATAATGCATGATATCCAAAGTCCCATAATAAAAACAGTTAGTTTAAATTTTGAAGATAATTTTGACTTGTTGCCAAAATATTGTATTTTCGCAAGTATAATCTTTATACTATAAAAAATGTATTATGAATATAAAATAAAAACAATTTAATGGATTGATATAATCATGTTATAGTGTATTATAGTGAAATATACATTGTGTATTATATATGTTTATTACAGAAAGATACATCATTTAGTAAAGAAAATATTCAGCAGACAGTTTTAAGTGACAAGTGTTATTATCGCCATTTCACACATAGAGGAAACTGAGTCCAAGAAGGCTAAGTTACCTGCCCAAGGTCATACAGCCACTACTTAATAGAAGAGAGAGTTTTGAATCTGTAGTCTGACTTTAGATGTATATCAGAACTGCAGAGTCATTCTTGTAGCACAATATAGCAATGCTAATTTAGATATATTCAATAGCATAAAATACCGGTCTTTCTCTACTTCAGCAAGAAACGCTTATTCTTTGGACAGTCATTGATAATAGACTTTGCAATTTTATTTGTGCCTATGGTATACTTGTGGTAGACCTAATAGCAAGGGGAAGGCCTGGGAACTGAAGACCTGTTTTCTTCAGCTAGATAACTTCATACAGTTACACTCACAATAGCAAAACAGTAAATACAGTAGGTGATTTTCTTTTCAGCTTTAATTGAGTTTATTAGTACATTTTAGGGATACAGTACAGTTACATTCATTGTTGGGATCTTGTACCTCTACATGACAAGTCTTGATTCTCATTTTTTCCCCTTACCTCTGCCCTCCCTTCATACAGTAGGTGATTTTAAAGCTTGATTTTATTGTGCACTCTTTGGCCTGAATGTGCTTAATTGAAATTTTGATGTGTATTTTCTGCTTTCTTGAAACAACACATAATTCTTACATATTAAGAATAGTTCATTCATATTTTAAAATGTCAGATTGCAATGTATATAGTGATAAGACTTTCATATAAATTTCATTGGCAAGGAGAGTTTTAAAACATTCAACTATCACATTATAAGGCTAGAATGTAGGCAGATACCAATATTCCAAACATAATTACCTAAACTTAACTTTTCTCAGTTTTTAACTTCTTCAAATACAGGAATCAGACAATGTAATTTTTATTATACTTCTCTACCACAGTTCATGTATGGTACTTAGTTTATCACGTTAATTCCATTGTTCCCCAAGATGCTTTGAGTCATTGATAATTCCAAGGCAAGCTGGAGAGTATAAAACAATTTTAGATTATTTAAATTAGTTTCATTAATATAATTTCTTTTCAGTTATTATTAATCAAAACTAGACAAAAACCCTTTAGCTTTATTGCTAAAAAAAAAACCCAAGAAACGGCTTAATGATATAAAATTTCTTTCAAACAAAATTATTTTATTATGTACGACTGGTGTGAAGTCTGCCCTTTCAAGTTTCAGGACTGTAATTCTGTCCTGCTGATGGCTTTTGCAGGCTGGCTTTCCACTGCCACTGTCCCTTGCCACCCCGCCAACCCTACCAGGCTGCTGGGAATTAGATGAGTTTCTGAAGGGTATTTTGTATCTAAACAAATATGAATGAAGCTGCCTCAGGAAAAAGCTTTTACACTCCAAAGTTGAGTAAGAGATTTTGAAATCCTGTCATGTGGCTCCTCTAAGTCCCGCCATTTTTATTACTAGAATTACATGAAAAGTACTTAATGGAACAGGGAGAAATGTTGAAGGTTTGTCTGACCATTGTGTGTCTTTTCACCAAAGTGTGTTTCAGGACCCCCCATGTGCAGTCAGCCTGTGAATCAGAATGGCCCCTTCCGTCTGAGCAGCAGGGAGTGGCCACAGTCTCCTGCACCCCAGAACTTCTCCATTGTGTTTCGCTGCACAGTATCCTCTCACATGTGATCATAGAAGCTGGCATAAATCCAAAACTCTTCCCTAACAAATAAACAGGAAAACACTGTTTTATCAAAAATATTTAAAACGTGCTATTGTAATTTCTAACTGCCCACCGCCAGTCGTCAGTACTGATCAGTGTGTAGAATCAGGAAGGTGTGAGGAGGCTGTCTGAGGTTTATCAGCATTTCTTAGGGCCCTTCTGAAGCGCCAGACTCTTTATTTAAATGTGCATTGGGATTCAGCAAGTGACTGCATGTTTGCGTATTACAGGGATAGCTTCAAATCCACTTATATTTTAGAAAAAAAAATATATATGTATGTATGTGCTCTGCCATAGAAAAGGATGAAACTGTGTCATTTAGCATGTGGATTGCGTTGCAGGTCGTCATGTTAAGAGCCAGGCATAGGCAGACAAGTTCACTCATTCATTTGTGGAATCTCATAGAAGCTGAGAGGAGGTTGGTGGTTACCAGAGCTCAGGAAGAGTGGAGCTGGGGAAGGGCTGGGAAAAGATTGATTAACTTGGTTGTAGATGAAAGAAGCAACTTCTGGTGTTCTGTTATGTGATAGGGTAACTGTAGACATCGATAATATACTGTGTGTTTTTACATGTCAGCAGGAAAATGATTTGAATGTTTTCCAAAAACAAAGGATACGTGTTTGGGAAGATAGGCAGATTTATCCTCATTGGAATATCATACAAGTGTAAATATGTGTATCACATTCATGACATAATACCCTACCAATGTGTAAATAAACAGTCTCCAAACTGCTACATTCTCAGCGCTATCAGTAGCAAATGATTTGTGGCCTGCCGTCATGGTGGGACCCCTGGCATGAGTCTCCCAGAATAGGTTAGCGTCTGAGCATCAGCTCTCGGCATTCCTATCGGGTCTGGATAAACAGAGACGGCTTTGCCTCTCCACACACCCTGAGAGCTCCTCCTAGAGCGCAGGGTCGTAGCGATAGGAATATGACAGATCCCACTGATTCCTGGGTTGTACGCAGAGGGTATGATCACCCTAGCACCCTGCTCTGGAGGAGCTGAGGCAGCTCACTGTGTGACGTTCCCAGCCCCTTCTTCAGACCTAAAACCATCAACTCAAAAGTGAGCAAGCTCTGGGAATGTAGCAAACGCTATCAAAACCCTTATTTAAAGGGGAAAATTTATCTAAAATCAGCAATTACTTTTCTTATTTAAAAGGTTTAAAAGTGACCTTTATTGCCAGTTTCCCACAAGACAAAATTTACAACAAATTTTCAGTAGAGGCAAATTTTCCTAAGTAGTATTTCTTTTATTCTAATAACCATCACTGGAGACAGTAATGGCTATAAAGTGGCCTAATTCTAAGAACAAACTTCCTTATTGATAGAGAGATGAGATGGATGGTCATCTGTTCATTACACAATTTTCTAAAATAATATAATTGTATTAATGCAAACATCATTTTTAAAAGATCTGAATGACATACTGGAAAGGGTGTGGCTTTTGACATTAGGTAAACATAGATTAGATATCCATTCTAGCTATTTAATAACCTGTGGTCTTAGGCTAGTCAGTTTACTCCTGTAACCCTCAGATAACCGTTTTTATGAAAGTGGACCCTTAATAATTATGGTTTACACATTGCTCATGGAAACTATGATAAATATTTTCCTTTGTTTCCATCCATTTTGCCACTAATATGTAAAGGATAGATATAAAGATAAATATAACCCAGATACAATTTCTCATGCCCCAAGTACCTTTTACAAACTATTGCTTAATTTTACACCTATGTATGTGTTTGTGCGCGTGTTGTTTTTTTAAAGTCTTGAAGGCACAAGCATATGATTTATTAGGTTAGATTTGTAACACATGGAATGAAACTGCTTTCTAGGTTTGATTGGTTCTGTGTGTGTGTGTGTGTGTGTGTGTGCGTGTGTGTGTAAGGACTCCAGTTAGAACTCTTGTTTTTTAGAAAGTTACTGCTTAGGAGGGAGAGAGGCTCCATTAGGGCAAAGCTTGTCACTCCTGCCTTTGCTCCTCTGGAACTCCATCCTCAGTGCCTAGAAGAAGATAGCTCTTTTTATGTGTGATTTCAGTTTACCTGTCAAGGAAATGTCTAGATACCCAGAAGTCATGGCTTCCTGCCCAGAACTGGACATACACACTCTCCCTTCAGCACTAATCTTTCCTCTTGCAGGTAAAAACAGACAAGATGGAGAGAAAAACATGGTGGACCCCTTTCTCCCCGTCTGTGCAAGCCTGCCTCCAACCTGGTGACCGTTGACACTCACCATTTGTGTGAAAGCCTTTTTTTTTGTAACATATTATTCTAGATTTGACTAATTAACTCCATCTTGTAGCTTCTGCAGTTTGTTTTTCTGCCACAGCTAGTTCTTAGAGGATGTTTCCCATTCTGAAACTTCTAAACATACTTTGGGCAGAAAGATTTTTAAAAACATAATTATACAGCTTTACTAATTCCTGAAAACAATGCCTAGTGGACTAACCCAGTGCATCATGTGTATACTGCCAAGTGAAAGTTTTGTAGTTTCCTGTCCTGTTTTGCTTTAAAATTATGTATCTTAGAAGTCAGCACTTGAAAATCGTATGGAGAACTCCTGAGTTACAATACAATAGTTATTGCTGCTGTTGCATGAACTGTTTGATCAAGCAGGTAATGAACAATGTTGCTATCAGATTTACCAGTGTATAATCTTAATTAGAATGTAAATTAAGAGTGACAGTACTCCACCTGCTTTGTGAGTCCTAGTGCCTCTAAGATTCCTTGGTTGGAAGGGAAGATAAGTAGCAGTAAACAATGGAAGATAGACCTTGGCCCTGAAGGGTCTGAGAACAGTTCCTGGGATTGGGAAATACATTATGTGTACGGAAACACCATCTCAACAGCAAGGCTGGCTAAGCCTTTAACAACATGCAATTACGTGAAATTTGTTAACTCTTGCCATTAGCTTGGTCTTTGCATTTGGAAAAAAGAGTGAAATTTGTACTGGAAGGACTTGGGCATCAATGGGGGATTAAAAAATAAGTGCATGCAATTCTTCCTGGGACTGCTTAAATTGCACTATTTGAAATTGATTTCTTTTCCCTCTTTTGGTCAGAGAGACACACTCAAAGTTCTTGTTTCTTCACAAGAAATAATTTTGTTCTCAAATGGTCTTATATTGAGGTATGAGATACTATTTGGGCTTCTTATTTTTTAAGTCCAGAAGCTCCATCTGTGATTGAAAGAATGCTCAGGAAGGCTTTGAGGGATATGGATCTGATATCCTGCATAGTTTTATTTTTTAAATGGTAATTTTCAGGGAATAAATGTCTCTGGTTGAAGATGTTACCTATTTCTTTCTTTTTTAGTCTGTTACTGTCACAGAAGAAACTATCTTAGAATTTGGACCTGAAGTCTTTATCAATGTGCAGTTTAGTAAGATACTGTGTTTTTAAGTGTCTGTAAATATCACCATGGAGACATGTATATGAGTCATCATTATAGGCATCTTTCTACATAGTTCACATCTAAAATTAAACTGCCAAGACCAGACAAGAATTTATAGTTTGGGAAAGGGGGAAAAAAAAAAGAAAACATATGGCAAATGTGGCTGGTAACTGGGAACAGGAGAACATTCTTGTTTAAAAAACTATATCTTGATGTCATTTTTAATTAGGAACTAAGTCCACTTTTATTAATATCACAGGATAAGAAAACTACCAAACTCTTATCTCATGGTAGATATATTTAATATTTAGTTTTGTCTTAGTACAGGTTCAAAAATCAACCAGATCGTACAACATTAATTGGCACTTTATAAAATCATTGTAGAGTCATTGTCTTAACTAATTTTTAGGGCAAGACATTATCTACAATACTAATGGGACTTTAATGGACTTATTTGAGTAAAATTCCACACTCCTAATATAACTGATGTCTTTTCTCTCTCAGCAACTTTCATTTGAAATTATTTTGTTTAAAAAACAAGCATTGCTAATTCTGAAATGTTTTTCTGTTTTCTTAGCATCTTCAAACTTTTTGTTGGCATTTATCATTTTGGTAAAAATAAACATTGAACCGTAGGATATTTTATGTAGTGTTTTAGTTTTAATTACTTATTGGGGCATTACCATAGATAAAGATAATAATAAAATGTCTTTCCTGCTTGACAGCAATCTGGGTTTGGTCAGGTTTATAATAGAAGAATGTACTGTGTGAAGGGATGTCCCTAGAAGACCAGTGGATTAGGGTGGACTGCTTCAGCTGTAGTTGTTTGAAAAGCCAGCTATAGCATTTAAAGGGCAGGCCAGGGATTTAACTGAGTGGTAACACTGCCTGCTTTGCAATTGTAAGGTCCTGAGTTTGATCCCCAGTACCAATGAAATAAAGGGAGAGAGCAGGTCAGGCCTACTGCTAAGTGGTATCACCAACTTAGGTGATGCTTGGAGTACGTTCATAGCTGCTCTATGTTTTGCTGAATCTTAAGGGGTCTGAATTTCAAATTTTCTGCCCAGTTTAATTTATCAAGTTTTAATGTATTATTGATTGAGAAAATATGGTCAACTTATAATGTGTGAGTAATCACTATCTTTTCTCAAATGTTTCAACTGATTTTTTATGATGCTGTATTTTCTTTGTAATTATTTACATATGAATGAGAATTGAGTGGAAATTACATATATCTTTCATTAACACATAAAAATATGGACAAAATTCAGAAAATATTTTTATGGTGGTCAAGAAAATTGGGGATGCGGAAGCAGGGTGTGATAGTCCCAACACATATGCTGAGGTAGGAGGATCACAAGTTCAAGCCCAGCCTGGAGAACTGAGTAAGTCTCTGCCTTCAAATTAAAAAAAAAATTTTTTTTAAAGGGCAGGCTTGTAGCTTAGTGCAATGGCCCTAGGTTCAATATCCAGTTCTGTAGGAAAAAAATCTTGAAATACAGCATGAATTTATAAGTAGGTGATGTGTTAATCTTCATTAACAGATTTGATACAGATTTTTAAAACTGACCAGGGTATTATTACACTTTCAGTCTTATTTCCAAAATATACACTTGTTCCCAAGTTATTAATATTCTTCCCAATAAGAAAATTCACCAACAGAAAGTGAGTGATGCTATTTTAAGTGCAATATTAATAGTGCTATTATTCATAATCACATATATGTATATATATTTGGTACCAGAGATCAAACTCAACACCATGTGCTTATGAGCCAGGCACAGTGCCACTGAAGTAAATCCCCAGCCCTTGATAATCCTATTTTAAGTTACTACTTTTAGCATACTTATTGAAAAGTTCATGGGTTTAGATGTTAGCTGTGTGATTTATGGGTTGGATAACTGTGGTCCTTATGAGTAAATGGAATAGAAAGAGCATCTACAGCACAGATTTCTTTGTAAGAATTCTGAAAGAATTGACAGTGTCTCTGGTATAGTTCAGTACTTGACACAAGATGTAGTCTTTAGTAGCGCTTATAGTATAAACTCTCTTTTGTTATTTAGTAAAAATTTTATGTCATATAAGTTTTATGTTCTTGTGAATTTGTACCTTATTTCAACAATGTAGATAATCTGAGAGAATAATAGTGTAAACTTGCTGGTGTTCACTTAGTGCTTTGGAAGCCTTCAGCAGGCACACACAGTGGAGCCGTGTGATCTGAATTTACAGATGGACATTTTTTTTTTAATGGGGCACAGGAAAACCTGTGTCTTGTCCGGGCCCTGCACTCTACCATGAACAGACTGCCAGATGCCCCTGAGAATCTTTCTAGACTTAGCATGTTTTCATAAAATTGGCTTGACTGAGCTCTAAAGTGTGTGATCTGCATTAAAGATCCACCTATTTCTATTCTATGCTGATGGTTAATGATTGAATACCAAATTTGTTCAAAGCAAAAAGAAATTTAAAGAAAAAAAATATGGATGTGGCAAATGAGAATCCGCATTGAGTCACAAATAATAGAGGATGGTTATGATTCAGAGTAGTTCTCATAGGTTAAAAATGGTGGCAGAAACTAGTCTCACTAATTATTTGTAGACCCTTTGTAGCTAACTTCAAAGCCCTCACATTGTAGAAATAACAACAGCAAGGACTTTGGTCCATCATTTATCCCCCATAGGGCAGGTTTTGTGGGACATTTTCAATCAGGTGTCTCTGAGAGGCTTATTTAAAATCAGAAAGAAATGACATATGGGTGGAAAGCAGATATTGCAAGAAATCTGTGATAAATATAGATAAGGAGGAATAGTTCACGTGTCAGCCTCTGCCTAGGGAATACAAAAGATAGGCCAAAGGAAGTTACCCAAAGAACACTGTGATTTTGAAAGGGAAAAAGATGCAAAAAGAAAAAATCATTGAACTTTGTATGTTATTTTTATAAGAGAGGAATGCAGCAGCTGAAAAGACCCAACACAACCAGTGATGTCCGCTCATGATGACATTTTGGCAGCAGCTGGTAGAATCAGGAAGCAAAACCTACAGGTTGTATAGGTTATATATGAGCATATAAGATAAATTTTAGAAACTCCAGGATATGAGGCAGGGGGAGATAGTAATGAGAGATAAATATAAAACTGTATACATGAAAGCAAAAAAGGATGCCTAAAGTGACTTTATTTGGTTCTTTGTATTTTTATTTTTCTCCCCTTTCCAACTCCCTAGTTATTTAATGTTGATAAGAAGCAATGAGAAAATGACTTTGCCAGGGCTAGTCAGAAATATTTGAGTTCCTTTTATTCTCCCCTCCTGAAATTCATAGTAATTAAAATTAAAGAAAGAAAGGGCCAGGGATTTAGCTTATAGATTTCACCTCCTGCCTTGCAAGCGCAAGGACCTGAGTTCAATCCCAGGTACAAAAAAAAAAAAAAAAA